AGAGAAATTAAGTGTTTTTGCCTGAAACATTAGCATTCCTGGGCAGCTAAAGGCAGCTACAGGGCAGTCAGCATTGGACCAGAGCCAGACAGCTACACTAACCTTCAAAGTCTTCAGACCACTGCAAAGTTAATTCAAAATACTCAGTGATGTCCAAATTGAAAATCCTCTGCTTTGTTTTTTGTTCTCTTATGACATTTCTCATTATTTGATCCATTTGTGTCTATTTCAGTTGAATCTCAGGTTTAGAAGTGAAGTTGTTAATGTTTAATAAGTGAATAGCTGCACCAGTACAGCTTTATAATACGCTCCATAAAAACAAATGCCTTTTTTATATGTGTGTATCCATCAGGCGCTGTCACAGGCAAACTCCAGACCCTTGAGATACTTTGGGAATTCCATTTCAGAAACAGATTTGTTTAAATTGGTAGGGCTCAATCAATATTAATCAAATCCAATTCTGAGGCACAACATTGGGTTTATAGTAAATAGTGCGCCTATATATTAACGGAGCGTGAGCCATGTGTTGCACCTTGGCTATTGTTTCTCTGTTATGTGTGTAACATAACAAGATCTTTGTGAGTTGCATATATTTGTCCGACTTCTCAGAGATACATTACAGGAGATTCCAGGCGGCTGTGCTGAGATTTGAATGTGTTTTGTTCCATGTTGGTTTTTTCCCCAACAACTGGGGATGTCACGAGAACTGTTAGTTGATACCAAAATTCTAAAAACCTCACAGTACTCGCTCCCCCGCTGACCTGCGCCTGGTCAGAGGTTCTTGGGAGTCATGCATTTCTTGGGGTTTTGAAATGTGTTTGTTTGGTTTGCTCTGGAGTTTAAGAGACACTTATTTAAACAGAGCAACAGAGGAGAGCAAACATACACACTCCTGCAGGTGGGAGAGAGGTTCTTTCTGCAGTTTGTGATGCAACACTGTGTTTAGAGAAAATGCAGCATACATGGCAGCTTCTTATTCGTATTAATCGGGTTAATATCCGAATATTTTCAAATGAGCCTCTAAAGGAACATCTTTATGGCTGGATTGTGACCAAGAAGGACATTTATCACTCAGAGATAAAATGCAACGTCCTTTTAATCCCCATTTCCATTTGCTACATCTCATACAGTAAGCACATGAACGAGACAGGGCAACATAGAGTCCAGTCACTGAGCATATAGAGAACGACCTCCCAACAAAGACAGTCCATACATCTCCTGGAGCTGTCTTTGTGTAGAAAGTCTTTTAGATCTCAATGCGTAGGGACATGCAGTGAAATTGCAGTAGAGAGAACACAGTGTGTACAACTCCTTTTGCAGACAACTGCTAATTCACAGTAAGGTTTGAAAAGTGCACACAGGGTTCTGATCTTGTAAGTAGCTTTATGAATATTATCTCTAGTGTGCGTCTTATAACCACTATAACACGTAGTGTTACAGAGCTCAATGTAAGACAGCAGTACTTATCAGATGTAAAAATAAATGACGTGACATATCAATATTCACAAAAACTATTTGAATTGATTTCACAATATCTACAAATTCACAACTTGGTAACACTGTTCAGTTTGTTGCCACTTAGTTTAATAATTTGTTTCCTTAATCTATTTGTCTACGGCTTTCTACCATCGAG